AAACAACTACTTCTAATGTAGTATAAAAAGTAAAATTATTTATTCTACCAAATTTCATAAAATCATAAAGAATAAAAAAATGTTCTTAAGCATATAAGGTTAAGGATAATCTATTTTTTAAACATGTCTTGATTCTGCTAGTGTTCTGTATTTCTTTAATTTTTTATTATTTATTTTTCAACAGCTTTTTAAGTCAAGGGTGAATTATACATTATTTTTATTCTTAACCTCTGACCCCACAGGCTACTGTGTGTAAACAAATGTTATTTTAAGTTTTATGTAAAAAGTAAACATTACTTTTACAAAATCCAGTTAATTAATGTTAAAATTTACTAAATGACTTCAGAGCACATCTCTAGGATAAATATTGGATTTTAAAGAGATTTTTAAATTTGTTGTTTATATTTTTTGTCTATAATAGCAGTTTCATGCACGATGAGTGAACATGCAAATGTTTTACAAATGCCTATATATATATATATATATATATATATATATATATTATATATATATATATAATATATGATGGACTGCCATCATATGTGACATATGAGGGTCAGGCAGCTCAGTTCCTAGGAACTGACAGCCAGACATCAACACATGATTTGATTATAGTGGTGAAGGATTTGTGCAGAACCAACCACACTTTTTGAAGGGCCAAATACAGAGACCTGGTGCACTACATGCCATAAGGTCCCCAAACAACCCTCAGCAAGTTTTGAATTCAGGTGTCCTTCTCCTAGACTAGTTACCATCCAAAGCTATCGAACCCAGTCTGTCCAGCTATTTACCCATAGCTGGAGGGAGAATTGAAGAGGATTAATACATTTCCCAAGGGTATTAGCACGTAAGTGAATGTAATGGATTCAACTGGAATTCGAACTCGGCTCTGATTCCTCAATCTGAACTGCTATCCATTACTTTACCGTGCCTCATATATATATATATATATATATATATATTGAACTGACACCACAGAACAAATATAATGCTTTATAAAGAACTTTAGAATTCTATCAGCCAACACTTCTTCAAAAGGTATCATTGGCATTTAGATGTACTATTGAACAAAGAATTAAACAGTTTCCAGGAGCCATAGTTTTTGGTCCTTCTTTGTGTCCCTTATATTTAAAACTACCATGGTTGGGTAGAAATAGTTCAATACTCACCAAGAAAGCATCAGTGTGTATAACATCAAGTTTCTTGACTGAAGTTACGTGCCATCTTTGAGACCAATTCGGGGTTCCCTCTTTACAAAGTATTTCCATAATAGACAATTTTAATTTAAGTGCGATGCTGCATACATAGGATGGACTAATTGAGATTGGAAACCTGTATCAGCCAGCACATTCCTGCTAGTATAAAAGCAGGTAAGTCCAGTCGATCTTTTCGGATGACCCAAGCATTACATGACTCAGCCATTGGTCAGCATCTTTTAGATAATCCTGATTATTTACATCAGTATACTGATGGTTGTTTTTTCATCTTTCATAGAGCTCATGCTGCTCTTCATTTGAAAATTCTAGAAGCAGTGTATATTAAAACACCAACCAAGCCTATGCAAGCAAAAAAGCAATTCACCAATGTACTCAAGTTATTTGGTGGGCATGAGTGATACTTTTCTCTTTTATACTCACTGGAACTGTTATATTTTATTCAGTAATTATTTTACTAATAAATTGTTTTAGCTGTGTTCCATAATTAAGTTTCTCTTCTCTTTCTACTCTTTAGTTCTGGTGAATATCATTTTCTGTATTGACAAGCCAACGATTCCTTCTGAAGAAGTGTTGGTCAATAGAATTCTTAAAGAAAAAACTATAAAAAAGAATGTCTAAAGTTCTTTTTAAAACTATATATATATATATATATATATATATATATATATATATATATATATATATATATATTTATTTTCATTAAAAATGAGGATACAGGATGAAAAAAAATTCCCCAAACTGAATAAAAACAAAGTTTAATTGTCAAAATTTGTTATTATTAAGAGATAGAACCAACGGATTTTTGATTATTAAATTATATTTTTTGATCCCTTTTAGAACCTTTGAAATTTTTAGCATTGGTGGCTAGAAAAACAAGCTTTTTTTCTAGTTAGGGTAACTAAATTAGTATGGGAAATTTTAGCATGATTTTGTGGTGCAAAACACTGATTTGGAAATACTTGCAATAATTAGATAATTGTCAAATTTTAATGAAACTTTCAGATATTATTTGCAAAGAATGGTATTATTTTTTAAATGTTTCTTTTTTTAGAATTTTTTTTTTTACATCTATTAAATCCCCAGTTACAGAAAATCTGCTATGAATCATAAAATAAAAAATGCAATAAAACTAAGACATTATTTAATTAGAAAAGCTTTTAATTGCTTTTATGTATAAAATATATAATCAACATTTTTTTGTCTTCAAAAAAATTTTTCAATGAATAATGAATTTTTAGAATTGTTTTCATTTTATTTAAATAGAACAATTTACAAGCTTTTAAATCTTTTAAAATTCTGTATTAATTTGTAACAGTCAAGTGATATTATTTTAGAAATCACCACTAATTCACTTATAGCATACCATGATGAAAAAACCCAAACTTGATGAAAACAATTTTTTAACATCTAAATATTTAAGAGGAAAGAGCAAAGTATTTTTTGATTATTTTTAACATTTTTTTAATCTTTCCTAGCACATCTGAAAATTTAGTTAAAAATATTGCTTCTTTTTTTTTTTTGAGTCATTGAAAATGCCATAAAATCAATGTCCACCATTTTCAAGAAATTTGTAAACAAAACTTAAATTCTTCATCTAAAAACCTTGTAAAAATTAATACTTTTTTCAAAAGCTATTTGAGGAAAATTAGAAAATTTAAAAAGTTTACTTAATGTAAAACAAACATTACTTTTTTCAGCAGAAAAAAATTTAGTTGAAAATAAAAGAAGCATGTCTTAATTTTTTTTAACTGTTGTGACTTGTTTCAAGGTGTGAATTGACGGTTACATTGTCTATTGACAGCTTACATCAGGGAAATTTATCAAATAGAAGTGACTATTTTTTCAAATTTTAAGTGAACTAACTTATTTAACTACACAGTAATTTTTAAAAATTAAAATTTCCAACAATCCAATATTTTATGGATTTTTTTTTTAGATATTTTAGCTTTACGTTTGAAGAGGATTTCTGGAAAAATAAAATTTAAAATACTGATAATAAAATAAAAATTAAAATTTCATAACTATATGCTTTTTTGGTCATTGTCAAATTTAAATATTTAGTGAAATAAGAAAAAATTTATTTATGGTATTATTTATTATTAATTTTTATATTATCTCAGTTATGAATTTTTTTCATAACTGAAAATTTAATAAATAAAAATAATAACATAAAATTTCATAAGATACCTACCTACCGGTCTCATTTTTTATGCAATGTTATTTTTTTGTAATGTGTTAATTTTTAATAGACAGTTATGAAAATGTTAATTTTTTTTTTATTAATTATGTAACCATTTACACGTTTCATTTTATTTAATAATAGTCTACTAAAAATAGAAGTGTAAAAAAAAATCTGCTATTCAGTTTCGTGAAAATTTGGTGGCCCTTTTTTGAAAATAATCTCAAGATATGTCAAAAAAAAAAAAACAAAAAAAAACGCCTGAATCACTGTTTTCGTCCCTAAAATTGAAACTAAAAAAAGAAAATAAATATTACATTATGTCTCTAACTTAAAAACAATAAAAAAAATTAAATTTAAATATTTGGTGGAATAAGACTTTAAAAAAACATGCTTGCAGAATGAAAACGCAAAATTTTATGAGTTTCTTGCCGTTAAGGGAAACAACTCAAAAACACTTGACATGTCAGCGCGCCATCGAATTTCTCGCGTTTTCATAAAATTGAGAGGGGAGGGGTAACAAATGTAAAAAAAAAAAAAAAATACTTTTTTTTATTATGACTTTATAAAAAAAAAAATCTAAATTTGCTTTTTAACTCCCGCGCTAAATATCTTTTTAAATGTTCCCAAATAGCCATAATTCCGTGTAAATGTACATGCTGAACTCGAATTAACAATTAAATTATGAAGAAACCTACCGTTTTGGAGTTATCGACAATAAAAGTTCGAACTCAGTCGCGTTCAGCTGTCGGCCATTGGCCTTGTTTAACTACATTCATTGCGGAACATTTAGCGCGCGGAGGTTTCATTTAAGAGCCTTTTTACTTCTCTTAACTGAATTTACTCGTTAAAAATTACTCCGCATTTAAGTTACGTCGTAAAGCGATGACAAGTGGTGTTTTTTGGGGTTTTTTTTTTATAGTAAATCATTCTTTTTAAATAAAAAAATTAATAAAATAAAGCTTTTCTTTTACATTAAAAATAAAACAAATAATAATGCGCAAAGTTTGAAAGAACTTTGAAAAGAACATGATTATTTACAAAATAAAAAGAAATACGCCTTCCTAGCATATTTTTTTTTTATTTATAAAAAAATACTAGGAAGGAGTATTTCTTTTTATTTTGTAAGTAAATAATCATGCTCTTTCCAAAGTTCGTGCATTTTGTTTTGTAATTTTATTTTGTAAATATTCATGCTCTTTACAATTACAAAATAAAAAAAGGCTAGAAACGAAATAATAATTAACGCGCTAAGTTTGGTCATTAATTATTATTTCCTTTTTTTAGCATTTTATTTTGTAAATATTCATTCTCTTTACAAAGTTTGCACATTAATTGTTAAAAAATACCACTTGTCATCGCTTTTTTTTTTTTACTTTTGCTCTAGCAACGACAACACCATTGTCGACTGACAAATTTTCGATCCTAACCATTTTTTTTTTTTTTTTTTAAGAATTTTATTTTCTTTCATATTTCTCGTAATATTCTGTTAATTAACCGAGCCGGGAACCTGAATTAAAAAAGTAATAGTACATGTAAATTTTAAATGTAAAAAAAAAACAAAAAAAAATTACTTTTTAAAATATACGGGATAAAAAAATTACCTGAGATCAGTGTCCTCTAAAACAAACTTGATGTTTTCATCTGTTAACTGAGTTATACACACAATAGGCTGATTTGCATATGGCATAATGATCAGATAAAATATATTTTAAAAATTTTTTTCGCGTTTTTGGAAAGGAAAAACAAACACATGCACCTTTTTAATTGCTTAAGACAAATGGCGATCATAAATACTCACCACGAAGCGGCACTCATAACTAATATTTCACAATACTCTATTTACACTACACAACAAATATTTTTCTGAAAAATATTTGACTTCATAGCTTATATTTTTATGCATAAATTTTTAATGTTATCATACATTGTCTTTCAACAAATCATTTTTTTTATTTGATTTAAGAAATTTTTTTTAAATTAAACAGCTTTCTTTTTCGTTTTTATTTTAATTTTTTTTTTTAGGCTTTTTATTTTAATTATTTATTTCGCAAAAATATTTTAAGGTGTCTCTGTATGTTTAAATGAAACCATTCCGTTACAAATAATTCCAAAATTTTCATTAATAATTATCTCACAGGAATAAAGCTGAAAAAGCTCTCATTTCCTATACAAATTTAGTAGATAACTTATAGATTCGGATGAGACTTTTCGAATAAATAACTGACTATTCGGCTGTAGTGTTCATCACTTAAAGTTTTTTTTGTTTTGTTTTTTTTTTTTAACGTAATCCGTATCCAGCCATTCTGATTAATCATATTGATTCGAATCGTTGAATCTACTGTTGTATACAACTTTCTTATAGTGCTAAATCTATTATTCATCCTTTAGTGACCATCTTTATTGAAACAAAGTTTTCAAAACAAAAGTAGAGCCTGCATTACTCAACAAAATAAGCAAGTACGCACAGTGGTTTAAATTATTTGTCTTTTCCTTTGTATTTAATTAATTTCAAAACAGAATTCAATTAAAGAAACTGAAAATATACTTATTATCTGAATAAATTTGTATTGTATTTGATTCCAGTGGATTTTGAGGTAAAGTCATAATTTGAGTTGGAGTGTAAATAAAAGCGATCATCGGCAACATGTCATCATTTTCGGACAGTAACTTTGTAAAAAAGCTTTCCGAATTGAACAACACGCAACAAAGCATCCAGACGTTGTCCCTATGGCTTATTCATCATAGGAAACATTCAAAGTCTATTGTTCAGATCTGGTTCAGGGAACTACAAAAAGGTCAGTCATTAAAAGAAGAATGATCAAAATAAACAATATTGTACCATTGCAGTTAACCTTTTTCGGAGTTTTAAATTGTAATTATGGGGCTGGAAACAAAGTTCCCGCACAACTTTTATAAATAAAAAGTTGTGCGGGAACGTTGTTTCCAATCCAATAGAAAACACTTTATTTTATTTTATTATATTTTTTTTCTTAAAAAAAATCCATTATCCTATTAAGTTTTGTCAATATTGAACTAATCCGATGTTAATAAGCTTATTTTTACAAATTCAATTTTGATTTTTAAATAACCAGTTTTTTTTTTTTTTTTGTAGTATATTTTTATGTTTATCGTACAAACATTTTATATCAATTTCATTCGGAGATTTTTCATTTTTGAGAAAAATTAAGCTTTAAACAAACATGACCTGAGTGAGATGGTTAAAATAAAGATTTTAGTGAAATTCAGTTTGGAATATAAAATACCAAACTGGACCTTGACTTTGTGTCAAGATATAACCCGAACCGCCATGTGAATTGAAACAAAAACACCTACGTATGTGACTACGAAAGAAAAGCAAAAAAATCCAATTGGAATAAAAAGATTTATGAAAACAGTAAAGAAGAAGAAAAAAAAGCAAAATCTCCAATTGGAAAAGAAAAATCAACATTTATTTCTAATTTTGGAAACCTTTTACTTTTTCATAATTGGCACAGAATTAGAATAAATACACTTTTCCGCTGCCATATTTGCGTAAACGTGCACAAGAATAGCTTCTTTTTTTTTTTTTTTTTCAAAAATATGAAAAATTTCCGAAGAAAATGAATGTTGCATTCGCTAACAAAGCAAAGCAAACTACATAAGAAAAATTATTTTTCATACAAAAACAAAAAAGACCCTATCCGATTCTTAACTAATAATAAAACGAAAAAAGGTTATGCCGGAATCTCCTTGATAAGAAAAATAAAAAATCTTGCATTAAAAGAAAAGAAAAATAACGCCTGAAAAATGTAATATATTTTAACAACGACTTAGTCCGGGATGAGGGGGAGGGTTTAATCACGAATATAATCATCGGTTTTCCAATAAGGTGGGGGGATGAGGGCATTCGAGCAGAATGTAACATAAAGGTCGAGTGGATGATACAAGGGACGCCTCAATTGCCAGACCCGAGGTGAATCCAAATATATAGGTATCACCTGGGCTCATCCCGAGTGAGAAGTATTACAGCACCCTCATCCACGGGACTTGAGTTCATATTACATTTCGTCCATGATTTAAATATGCCAACAGCATTTCGGACGCTAAAATGGTATTTATTTATGTACTTTGATTTTGAAAAAAATCTGTTTTTATTTTAACCTTAAAAATCATAAAGCTAAAAACCGGAGTTTTCAAACTGTTCACAGTGGTAACACACTTTAAAAATAATTATTTTTATTGCGACATGAATTAAAAATGTATATAAAAAGAGTTCAGTAGAAAATTTAGTTATAAATTAAACAAAGATCAATTATTTATATAATTACAGTTGGACTAATATTTGTACCCTCTGGCCTTTAGGTGTCTGTCATCAGGGAATTTTGAATTGAACCCTTTCTTTAATCTACAGGACTAGCAATAACTGAGCAATTCTGAAAAGACTATTAATCAAGACAAGATATCTCTAAACATGAACAGCAGAATGAGAACAATCCACCTCTGTAAATTTAAAAGGGTTTAGGTTGAAATTCCTGGAAAAAAGTATGTTATGATAGTAACAACAAAGATAAGGATATAAATCCAATTATAAATAACTCTTTTCCTCAGAAATTCAGACAGAAAAGAACAGAATTAATTACACTGTAGTGTCAATACATGCCATCACCTTGGAAAGTTAACTCTAGCCCTAGCACAAGATACTAAATCAGTGACAAAAGTAAAGAATTTTAAGGTTAAAAAGTGGAGAATATAAAATTGAAAATAAACAAAAATTAGTTGGTGGGGGAGTTGAAACTTTGTATCACACTTTGGGGCAAAATATATAATCTTGAAGCAATGAAGGCTGTTTAAAAGCAGTAACTGCTTTTTCATTGTAAATCATTTTTAGCAATATCAAATAATTTTTTAAAAGGTGTTAAGTATTCTAATTACAATGTAACTATAATACCCATAAATTGGACCCATACTTTCTGTGTGCTGGTTGAAAGTATGGCTTTGAAGTATCCAGTTATTTTCTTTGTTATTGTCATATTATTTTCCCCTTTTTGATTATATATATATATATATATATATATATATATATATATAGAGAGAGAGAGAGAGAAAGAAACACACACACATATATATAATGTGTACATATATCTCTCTCTCTCTCTCTCTCTCTCTATATATATATATATATATATATATATATATATATATATATATATATAAGAAAGAACAGTAAGATTTATAATCCAGTGTTCTTAGCAATTATTTTTATTTTAAAAAATAGTGCTCAATACAAATAGTAGAGCATAATATACCAAAGAAGTTACTAACTGGTTTACTAATATTAAGGAGAAACCAAATTGTACACTAATACAGTTTGATATTGAAAATTACTACCAATCGATATAAAAGGAACTTTTCACAAATGCTAGGGATTTTGCTACCCAATACTTGGACATAAAAGATGTAAAGAAAAACATAATTATGAATGCAAAAAAATCGGTACTCATTCATAATGGCAAGCAATGGATTAAAAACTCTAATGTCCACTTCAACATCACAATGGAATCATTGGACTCTGCAGAGTCCTCTGATCTTATTGGTCTTTTTATATTATATAATCTTAATGCATATTGTGAAATTAATATAAATGACATTGGATTGTACAGAGATGATGGCATTATAATTGTAAGGAATTCTACAAACTTTAAAATTGATAAAATTAGAAAACTATTACATAGAGAATTTAAATGCCTAAACTTGAAAATTACTGTAAATACTAAATTGAAAAATTTAAATTCCTTGATATAACACTAAATTTAATGAATAATATATACCTGCCTTACAAAAATCCCAATACTAATCCTTTGTATATACATCCTCTATCTATAATTAAGCATATACCTTCATCTATCAAAAAAAGAATAAGTACAAATTCAGCAAATGAGAAAATATTCTATGAACATAGTGATTTCTATAATAAAGCTCTAAAGAATAGTGGCTATAAATGCCCAAAACTCAATTATATAAAAAATGAAAATGGACACCATAGAAAAAATAGAAATAGAAAAATCATTTGGTATACACTCCCATACAACCAAATGGTAAGAAATAAGTTTGGACAAAAATTCATAGACATTTTTCTAGAGATAGTAAACTCAGTACAATTTTTAATAAAAATACCCTAAAATTAAGTTACTTCTGTACTGAAAACTTGGAAAGGATTATTAAGAAACATAATGCCAGTATCTTGAATAAACACTTATACCAAAATCAAAAAAATATGGATCCTAAAATAAAAAGAAATGAAGATGAAGAAAAATTATGTAACTGTAGAAATCCTCACAACTGTCCTCTTAATAATAAATACCGTATTGAGTCAGTAATTTATCAATGCAATATATCATCTATTGAAGATTCAGACATGGTTAAATTCTGCATTGGATGCACAAGAAATGAATTCAAAAGAAGGTGGACCCAACATTAAACGTCTTTTAATAATAATAAATACTGAAATCAAACATCCATATCTAATTATTTCTGGCAATTAAAAGAAGCCAATAAAACACCAATAGTAAAATGGAAATTAATAAGAAAAGCTAGAGCTTGTAGGTCATTAAATGATCCATGTCCTTTCTGCATACATGAAAAATTATACATTATTATGTTTCTGAAAAATAAAAATTTACTAAATCAAAGAAATGAAATAGCTATTTT